GTGTCCTATGGGGTTTTAGGGGTGGTCTATGGGGGTCTATGGGTGCCTATGGGTGTCCTATGGGGTTTTAGGGGTGCTCTATGGGGCTCCCCACCCATAACCCCCCCCTTTTTGCTGCCCCCCCCCCAGTTGGGGGTCGCAGTGGGGCTGGGGGGGGCCCCCTTTCTCTCTGCAGCCTCCTCCAGACCTTGGACCCCTTCGACTTGGGCGACGAAGACATTGGGGGGGGGGCTCCCCCCAAACCTGAGCCGGAGTTGGGGGGGGCCATGGACACCCCAAAGAGGCTCTGCCCCCCATTGCCCCATAGCGACAGCGTGGATGAGCTCCTGCATCAGGTGCTGCCCCATAGGGATCAATGTGGGGTGGGTGTGGGGTTTCTGCCCTATATTGACCCCCATCCTCCCCATAGGAAGTGGTAGAGCCCGCCCAAGCCCCGCCCCCGGCCCCCCCCGAGGACCAATGGGCTGTGGCCATTGACACCAGTGAGCCAATGGGGGACTTCGAGAGCCTGGTGCCTGACCCGGCCTTTAAGGTGGGGGCAAAAAGGGGTTTGGGGGGGTCCTAAAGGGGTTTGGGGGGGTCTAAAGGGGTTTGGGGGGGTCCTAAAGGGGTTTGGGGGGGTCCAAGACGGGTTTGGGGGGTCCTAAAGGGGTCTGGGGGGGGTCCAAGGGGGTTTGGGGGGGTCCAAAGGGGTTTGGGGGGGTCCAAAGGGGGTTTGGGGGGGTCCAAAGGGGTTTGGGGGGGTCCTAAGGGGGTTTGGGGGGGTCCTAAAGGGGTTTGGGGGGGTCCGAAGGGGGTTTGGGGGGGGCTAAAGGGGGTTTGGGGGGGTCCTTAAAGGGGGTTTGGGGGGTCCTAAAGGGGGTTTGGGGGGGTCCTAAGGGGGTCTGGGGGGGTTCTAAGGGGGTTTGGGGGGCTCCCAAGGGGGTTTGGGGGGTCCTTAAAGGGGGTTTGGGGGGGTCCTAAAGGGGTTTGGGGGGGTCCAAGAGGGGTTTGGGGGGGTCCTAAGGGGGTTTGGGGGGGTCCCAAGGGGGTTTGGGGGGGTCCTAGGGGGGTTTGGGGGGGTCCTAAGGGGTTTTGGGGGGGTCCTAGGGGGGTTTGGGTGTTGCCTTAAAGACCCCTTCATGCTTTCTTTGGCGAGGTTCCAACGCCGTCGTTTGTCGTTCCCCCCCCCTCAGTGGCCCTTTAAGCCGGACCCGTTCCAGCTGCAGGCCGTGCTGTGCCTGGAGCGGGGGCAATCCCTGCTGGCGGCCGCGCACACCTCGGCGGGCAAAACGGCCATCGCCGAGTACGCCATTGCCCTGGCACAGCGACACATGGCTCGGTGAGACCCCCCCGCACCCAAAAACGCCTTTTTTCCACCCAAAAAGAGCCTTCGGAAAGCGCAAAACACGCCCAAAACAACCCCCCCCCCGCCCTTTGCTATGTTGTTCTAGCGCCCCTGCAGTACCCAGTGTGGCCACAAGAGGTCGCGCCATTGTGGTGCCATTAAGAGCGCCAAACCCATCGCATAAAGCCCCATTTTGGGGTGCTCAGACCCCCCATTGGGGTCCTAAATCATCATTAAGGGTCTCTAACCCCCTCTGCACCCAAAACCAACCTTTTTTACCCCAAAAAGCGCTTCCGAAAAACCCAAAACACCCCCAAAATGGAGCTCCCCCCCCCGCCCTAGCGCCGCTGCAGTACCCAGTGTGGCCACAAGAGGTCGCGCCGTGGTGGTGCCATTATGAGCGCTAAACCCATCGCATAAAGCCCCATTTTGGGGTGCTCAGACCCCCCCATTGTGGTCCCCAATCATCATTGGGGGGCTCTAAACCCCCTCTGCACCCAAAACCAACCTTTTTTACCCCAAAAAGCACCTCCAAAAGACCCAAAACACCCCCAAAATGCAGCTCCCCCCCCCGCCCTAGCGCCGCTGCAGTACCCAGTGTGGCCACAAGAGGTCGCGCCATTGTGGTGCCATTAAGAGCGCTAAACCCCATCGCATAAAGCCCCATTTTGGGGTGCTCAGACCCCCCCATTGGGGTCCCCAATCATCATTAAGGGTCTCTAACCCCCCCGTAGCCAAAACCAACCGTTTTTACCCCAAAAAGGGCCTCCAAAAGATCTAAAACACCCCCAAAATGGAGCTTCCCCCCCGCCCTATCGCCGCTGCAGTATCCAGTGTGGCCACAAGAGGTCGCGCCATTGTGGTGCCATTAACAGCGCTAAACCCATCGCATAAAGCCCCATTTTGGGGTGCTCAGACCCCCCCCATTGTGGTCCCCAATCATCATTGGGGGTCTCTAAACCCTTCTGCACCCAAAACCAACCTTTTTTACCCCAAAAAGCGCTTCCGAAAAACCCAAAACACCCCCAAAATGGAGCTCCCCCCCCGCCCTAGCGCCGCTGCAGTACCCAGTGTGGCCACAAGAGGTCGCGCCATTGTGGTGCCATTAAGAGCGCCAAACCCATCGCATAAACCCCAATTTTGGGGTGCTCAGACCCCCCATTGGGGTCCTAAATCATCATTAAGGGTCTCAAACCCCCTCTGCACCCAAAACCAACCTTTTTTTACCCCAAAAAGCGCCTCCAAAAGACCTAAAACCCCCCAAAATGCAGCTCCCCCCCTGCCCTATTGCCGCTGCAGTACCCAGTGTGGCCACAAGAGGTCGCGCCATTGTGGTGCCATTAAGAGCGCTAAAGCCATCGAATAAACCCCAATTTTGGGGTGCTCAGACCCCCCCATTGTGGTCCCCAATCATCATTGGGGGTCTCTAAACACCCCTGGACCCAAAATTGACCTTTTTCACCCCAAAAAGCGCCTCCAAAAGACCCAAAACACCCCCAAAATGCAGCTCCCCCCCGGCTATACCCATCCCTAGCGCCTCTGCAGTACCCATTGTTAACACCAAACCCATCGCATAAAGCCCCATTTTGGGGTGTTCAGACCCCCCCATTGTGGTCCCCAATCATCATTGGGGGGCTCTAAACCCCCTCTGCACCCAAACCCAACCTTTTTTACCCCAAAAAGCGCCTCCAAAAGACCCAAAACACCCCCAAAATGCAGCTCCCCCCCCGCTATACCCATCCCTAGCGCCCCTGCAGTACCCATTAACACCAAACCCATCGCATAAAGCCCCATTTTGGGGTGCTCAGACCCCCCCATTTTGGTCCCCAATCATCATTGGGGGTCTCTAAACCCCCTCTGCCCCCAAAACCAACCTTTTTTACCCCAAAAAGCACCTCCAAAAGACCCAAAACACCCCCAAAATGCAGCTCCCCCCCCGCTTTACCCGTATCTAGCGCCCCTGCAGTACCCAGTGTGGCCACAAGAGGTCGCGCCATTGTGGTGCCATTAAGAGCGCTAAACCCCATCGCATAAAGCCCCATTTTGGGGTGCTCAGACCCCCCCATTGTGTTCCCCAATCATCATTGGGGTCTCTAAAACCCCTCTACACCCAAAATCAACCTTTTTTACCCCAAAAAGCGCCTCCAAAAGACCCAAAACACCCCCAAAATGCAGCTCCCCCCCCGCCCTATCGCCGCTGCAGTATCCAGTGTGGCCACAAGAGGTCGCGCCATTGTGGTGCCATTAAGAGCGCTAAACCCATCGCATAAAGCCCCATTTTGGGGTGCTCAGACCCCCCCCATTGTGGTCCCCAATCATCATTGGGGGTCTCTAAACCCTTCTGCACCCAAAACCAACCTTTTTTACCCCAAAAAGCGCTTCCGAAAAACCCAAAACACCCCCAAAATGCAGCTCCCCCCCGCCCTATCGCCGCTGCAGTATCCAGTGTGGCCACAAGAGGTCGCGCCATTGTGGTGCCATTATGAGCGCTAAACCCATCGCATAAAGCCCCATTTTGGGGTGCTCAGACCCCCCCATTGTGGTCCCCAATCATCATTGGGGGTCTCTAAACAACCCCGGACCCAAAATTGACCTTTTTCACCCCAAAAAGCACCTCCAAAAGACCCAAAACACCCCCAAAACCCAGCTCTCCCCATTTCCTGCAATACCCAATGTGGCCACAAGGCGTCGCTGTTGTCTTTTATGGCTCTTAATACTCTCCCATAAGCTCCTTATGGGGTCGTGGGGGTCCCTCCTATTTCCCCCCCATTTCCTCCCCCTATTGACCCCCATTGCCCCCCATTTCCCTCCCCAGCTCCATTTACACGTCTCCCATCAAGGCTCTTTCCAACCAGAAGTTCCGGGATTTCCGGAGCACCTTTGGATCTGTGGGGCTGCTCACGGGGGACGTCCAACTGCACCCCGAGGCCTCCTGCCTGGTCATGACCACCGAGATCCTGCGGTGAGCGCCCCGAAATGCACCCTAATCACCCCAAAATGCACCCGAAACAGCCCAAAATGCACCCGAAACAGCCCAAAATGCACCAAATCCACCCCGAAATAGCCCCAAACAGCCCAAAATGCACCCAAAACAGCCCAAAATGCACCAAAACCACCCCAAAATAGCCCCAAACAGCCCAAAATGCACCAAAACCACCCCGAAATAGCCCCAAACAGCCCAAAATACACCAAAACCAGCCCAAAATGCACCCGAATCACCCCAAAATGCACCCAAAACAGCCCAAAATGCATCAAAATCACCCCGAAATAGCCCCAAACAGCCCAAAATGCACCAAAACCAGCCCAAAATGCACCCGAATCACCCCAAAATGCACCTGAAACAGCCCAAAATGCACCCGAAACAGCCCAAAATGAACCAAAACCACCCCGAAATAGACCCAAACAGCCCAAAATGCACCCGAAACAGCCAAAAATGCACCCAAACCCCCCCAAAATAGCCCCAAACAGCCCAAAATGCCCCAAAACCAGCCCAAAATGCACCCGAAACAGCCCCAAATGCACCCGAATCGCCCCAAAATGCACCCAAATCAACCCAAAATGCACCCGAAACAGCCCAAAATGCACCCGAAACAGCCCAAAATAGCCCCAAACAGCCCCAAATGCACCAAAGCCAGCCCAAAATGCACCTGAAACAGCCCAAAATGAACCAAAACCACCCCGAAATAGACCCAAACAGCCCCAAATGCACCCAAATCACCCCAAAATACACCCGAAACAGCCCAAAATGCACCCAAACCCCCCCAAAATAGCCCCAAACAGCCCAAAATGCACCAAAACCAGCCCAAAATGCACCCGAAACAGCCCCAAATGCACCCGAATCGCCCCAAAATGCACCCAAATCAACCCAAAATGCACCCGAAACAGCCAAAAATGCACCCAAACCCCCCCAAAATAGCCCCAAACAGCCCAAAATGCACCAAAACCAGCCCAAAATGCACCCAAAACAGCCCCAAATGCACCCGAATCGCCCCAAAATGCACCCAAATCAACCCAAAATGCACCCGAAACAGCCCAAAATGCACCCGAAACAGCCCAAAATAGCCCCAAACAGCCCCAAATGCACCAAAGCCAGCCCAAAATGCACCTGAAACAGCCCAAAATGAACCAAAACCACCCCGAAATAGACCCAAACAGCCCCAAATGCACCCAAATCACCCCAAAATACACCCGAAACAGCCCAAAATGCACCCAAACCCCCCCAAAATAGCCCCAAACAGCCCAAAATGCACCAAAACCAGCCCAAAATGCACCCAAAACAGCCCCAAATGCACCCGAATCGCCCCAAAATGCACCCAAATCAACCCAAAATGCACCCGAAACATCCCATAATGAACCCAAATCACCCCAAAATGCACCTGAAACAGCCCAAAATGCACCCGAAACAGCCCAAAATGCACCAAAACCACCCTGAAATAGCCCCAAACAGCCCAAAATATACCCAGAACAAATCACCCCAAAATGCACCTGAAACAGCCCAAAATGAAACCAAAACAGCCCAAAATGCACCCAAATCACCCCAAAATGCACCCAGAACACCCCTAAACACCCAAAATACACCCCAAACAGCATAAAATGCACCCAAACCAGCCCAAAATGCACCAAACCCACCCTGAAATAGCCCAAAACAGCCCCAAATGCACCCAAATCACCCCAAAATGCCCACACAACACCGCAAAATACCCCCAAAACAGCCAAACCAGCACAAAATACACCCAAACCACCCCAAAATGCATCCAAATCTCTCCAAAATGCACCCAAAACCCCCGAAAATAACCCAAAATGCCCCAAAATACACATAAAGCACCCCAAAACTCATTCAGAGGCCTCCTGCCTGCTCATGACCACCATGACCCAAAACACCCCAAAATACACCCAAAACAGCCCAAACCAGAGCAAAATACACCCCCAAAAGCCCAAAATACACCCCCAAAAGCCCAAAATACACCCAAACCACCCCAAAATACACCCGAAACTCGTGGAATTACACCAAGACCACCCCAAAATACACCCAAAAAGAGCCCAAATGCACCCAAACCAGCCCAAAATACACCCCAAATACACCTCAATATACACCCATAACACCCCCAAAACACCCCAAAATACACCCAAATACCCCAAAACACATCAGAACAGCCCCAAATACCCCAAAAAAGAGCCCCAAATACACCCAAACCAGCCCAAAATACACCCCAAATACAATATACACCCAAAAAACCCCCAAATACACCCAAAACACCTCAAAACAGCCCCAAATACCCCAAAATACACCCAAATACCCCCAAACACATCAGAACAGCCCCAAATACCCCCAAAAAGAGCCCCAAATGCACCCAAACCAGCCCAAAATACACCCCAAATACACCTCAATATACACCCATAACACCCCCAAATACACCCAAAACACCCCAAAATACACCCAAAACACCCCAAAACACCCCAAAATCACCTCAAAATACACCCAAACCAGCCCAAAATACACCCCAAATACAATATACACCCAAAAAACCCCCAAATACACCCAAAACACCTCAAAACAGCCCCAAATACCCCAAAATACACCCAAATACCCCCAAACACATCAGAACAGCCCCAAATACCCCCAAAAAGAGCCCCAAATGCACCCAAACCAGCCCAAAATACACCCCAAATACACCTCAATATACACCCAAAACACCCCCAAATACACCCAAAATACACCCAAATACCCCCAAACACCTCAGAACAGCCCAAAATACCCCCAAAAAGAACCCCAAATACACCCAAACCAGCCCAAAATACACCCCAAATACACCCCAAATACACCTCAATATACACCCAAAACACCCCCAAATACACCCAAAATACCTCAAAACAGCCCAAAATACCCCCAAATACCCCCCAAACACCTCAGAACAGCCCAAAATACCCCAAAATACCCCCAAATACCCCCAATCCCCCTCTTTCTGCCCTATAGCTCCATGCTCTACAACGGCTCCGATGTGATCCGGGACCTGGAATGGGTCATCTTCGACGAGGTCCATTACATCAATGATGCTGAGGTGAGGGGGGGGCCGCTATGGGGCGCCTATGGGGCTGGGGGGGGTCCTATGGGGTCCCTATTGGGGTCCCTATGGGGGTTATTGGGGTCCCTATGGGGGTTATATGGGGTCCTATGGGACCATAGGGGAGGGGGTCCTATTGGGGTCCCTATGGGGGTTATTGGGGTCCCTATGGGGGTTATTGGGGGTCCTATGGGGCTGGGGGGGGGTCCTATGGGGTCCCTATGGGGGTTATTGGGGGTCCTATGGGGCTGGGAGGGAGCCATTGGGGTCCCTATGGGGGTCCTATGGGGCTGGGGGGGGTTATTGGGGTCCCTATGGCGGTTATTGGGGATTATGGGGCTGGTCCTATGGGGTCTTATTGGGGTCCCTATGGGGGTTATTGGGGGTCCTATGGGGCCAAGGGGGGTCCTATTGGGGTCCCTGTGGGGGTTATTGGGGGTCCTATGGGGTTGGTGGGGTCCTATGGGGCTGGGGGGGGATCTCATTGGGGTCCCTATGGGGGTTATTGGGGTTATTGGGGGTCCTATGGGGCTGAGGGAGGTCCTATGGGGCTGGGGGGGGTCCTATTGGGGTCCCTATGGGGGTTATTGGGGGTTCCTTTGGGGCTGGAGGGGGTCCTATGGGGGTCCCTATGGGGGTGTTGGGGGTCCCTATGGGGGTATTGGGGGTCCCTATGGGGGTGCTATGGGGGTCCTATGGGGTCCCTATGGGGGTCCCTATGGGGGTCATTGGGGTCCTATGGGGCTATGGGGTTCCTATGGGGCTGTGGGGCGGGCTATGGGGTTCCTATGGGGCTGGGGGGGGTATGGGGGTCCTATGGGGCTGGGGGGGGGATCTCATTGGGGTCCCTATGGGGGTTATTGGGGTCCCTATGGGGGTTATTGGGGGTCCTATGGAGCTGGGGGGCGTCCTATGGGGGTCCCTATTGGGGTTATTGGGGTTCGTATGGGGGTTATTGGGGTCCCTATGGGGGTTATTGAGGGTCCTATGGGGCTGGAGGGGCTCCTAGGGGGTCCTATTGGGGTCCCTATGGGTGTTATTGGGGTCCCTATGGGGGTTATTGGGGTCCCTATGGGGCTATTGGGGGTCCTATGGGGCTATGGGGGTCCTATGGGGGTTATTGGGGTCCTTATGGGGGTTATTGGGGTCCTATGGGGCTTGGGGGTCCCCTATTGGGGTCCCACTATGGGGGGGGGTATTGGGGTCCTATGGGGGTTATTGGGGTCCCTATGGGGCTAGGGGGTTATTGGGGTCCCTGTGGGGGTTATGTGGGGTCCCTATGGGGTTATGGGGTAGGGGGTGGGGTCCCTATGGGGCTGGGGGGGTTTATTGGGGTCCCATAGGGGGTTATTGGGGTCCCATAGGGGGTTATTGGGGTCCCATAGGGGATGTGGGGGTCCCATAGGGGGTTATTGGGGTCCCATAGGGGGTTATTGGGGTCCCCATAGGGGGTTATTGGGGTCCCATAGGGGGTTATTGGGGTCCCTATGGGGGTTATTGGGGGTCCTATGGGGCTGGAGGGGGTCCTATGGGGTCCCTATGGGGGTTATTGGGGTCCCTATGGGGGTTATTGGGGGTCCTATGGAGCTGGGGGGCATCCTATGGGGGTTATTGGGGTCCTTATGGGGGTTATTGGGGGTCCTATGGGGCTGGAGGGGGTCCTATTGGGGTCCCTATGGGGGTTATTGGGGTTATTGGGG